AATCCTCTTAGATACTCTCAAGTTGATCTCTACATGATTCTTCAACATTGCCATAGTTATAAGGACACACCAATATATCAAGTTGATTCCTAAACTATTTATTCTGAGAGTTACCTTAAAGATCAAGTAGTACCAGTGTTAGAAGAAGAAGCAAAAAACTTTATTCTTATTTCCCTGAAGGAAATATTATTACAATAAAATCTGCAATTATTATGGGTATCAAAGCACCAATTTTTTATATGCATGTTGTTAGATTGCGAAGGAGAAGAAAATATTCATCATTATTCACCAGAAGATATTGAGCATCATCTTAATACCAAATATACTTCATTTTTTGAGCAAATTGTGGCAGAACACAACAAGGTCTGGGTATGTTTAAATTTATTTGGTGATGATGATAAATGCAAAGATCAAAAATCACAAGAAACATGCCAGAATGAACATAGATCTATTGAACGCAAAAGAAAACATGAAGGAATTAATAATGGTAATGAACATCAAGAAAAAAGACCTCGAACTAATAATCGATTTCAAAAATCACAAGAAGTCTACCAGAGTGAATGGAGATCTGTTAAATCTTATTATAAAAAAATTACTCGTGTGTAAAAAAAAATTAGTATTTTTATTATTATTACTTATTATAAAAAAATTAGTATTTTTATTATTATTACTTCTTATAAAAAAATTACTTATGTGTAAAAAAAAACTAGTATTTTTATTATTATTAGAACAAATAATGCACATATATATATATATATTAATTAAAATATAAATAAAAGATTAATTTTCCTTTTGCATCTTCATTACATGGTTTCAATTCCTTCAATTAATTGGTTTCTCTTGCTATATTTAAATTGTGCGAAAAAAGTAGTTTAGATTTGATTGTTTGTATTACAGCCGATTAAATCAAAAATTCATATACAGTCAAATCTCGATAAACCGAACTACCATAAACCGATTTTCGCTTTATAACGATGCAAAATTGGCTAACTAAATCATATTTAATAAAAATTATTTCGTTAAGCCGAATTTTATTATAATTTCTACTTTACTTGATAAACCGAACTTATTACTAAATTAGGCTTTTAACCCTTTACGCTGCCAGCCCTGTTTGTATCGTAAATCGAATTTTGATAAGCCGATCCTATTTTTGTGATTCCCAAAAGTTCGGCTTATCGAGGTTTGACTGTAAAACATTTTTTATAGATTATAAAATGATTGATGGACAGACAATGGTAAATTAATTGTTGATTAGTTATTTATCACTTCACATATCAAAATTTTATTAATATCACTGTTTCCGTTGAGAAATTTTGGACATTTTTTCAATTAAACCCCCCCCATTTATTCAATCAGTAAAAACTTTTATGATAATAATAATACGCGTCGAATTTAGTGAAACAAGGTTTCCTTTTTTGAAATGAAAACAGGGTTACACGGAATTGAAATTTTAGATTTCCGTCATATGTTGGGATTTTTACATTGAAGTGTAAAATAATTATTAATATTAGTTTCAACAATAAACTTCAAACGTGAAATAATAATAATTCTATTATAGTGCAAGTCACTTAGTCGCTGAACTTTTTATTGGCT